CACCTTCGTTTATGTTGTAGAAACTTCGGTCTCCATTGTATGGCGTGGGCTGACCCTGCTCTTCGCTCCATCTGTGCAAGGATATGGCCCACGTAGGAGTGGGGCCTTGAAATGTCGGACGGGGGTTGGGGTTTGGGACTCCAGGGGTAGGTTATTAACTTCTGGCTCGGAGTCGGAGTTATCCGGAAAGCCTTCTGCTCGGTGGTCATCCAAGGGGATTGGGTGATCATCGTCCGACTCTTCACTGAGCCATCCCCCATTACCCTGGTTTGGGTAGTACGGGTCGCCTGGAGGGTGGAAGCCAGCCATGGTATCTATGCGAGAAAGGGGAAAAGAAGGTTAATAGGCGTACTAACCTAAATTACTTATAAGACGGTCGTCACGAGTTGGACCAATACTTGCATAATGCATACTAATTACATGTGATTGGGGCAGGATAGTCCGTCGAAATAAGTGACCCTAACTCTAAATCACAACCAAACAAGGAACAGGAAGTAAAGCAAAGATCACAGATTCTAAGTCTATAACGCCCTAGTCACATGTAACCGGAAAGTATCCATTTAGCGACTATTGCTCCATCAGTAACGACCCTTTTTAGTTCTCACAGATGTATGTTTTTAGAGGTACAGAATACTCCTATAGTATTCTAATGTTAACGTTATTGTGGTAGTGTTGGTAAGTTTTAGACTTGTTGCAATACCACAACCAAACTTAGGCACATGCTAGTCACTCCCAGGAAAACGTAGTTGATCAGGCTACATCCCCCTAAATGTGACTATATGTCTCTAAGCTCAATTGTGCTATCCAACAATCTTAATACTTTTGTTTGGTTCTAGGACGATACTGACTTCTGTGTTTTATAGTGATGTGTGTATATATACTTAGTTAAATCTTTTAGATACTTAACAGTATATATTCTTGGTCAGAGTGTTTTAGTCCCGAAGTGTTTATAGTTCGTATATCTTTTATAGGTTGATATACTTGATTCACTATAAACAATGCTCTGATACCAATCTGTCACACCCCAAAACCGATAACGGCGGAATACGTTTCGGGGTGGATGACGTAGTGTACAGTATCATCACAATTGTATAATAGTAAAAGCAAGAAACATACAACCATTTCATTTATATAGTAAGTGTATTTACAAGTGTGTTTTGTAATGTTTGACAAACACCAAAAGTAAACAAAATAAGAGATGGGTCTTGTATCCTCCATCTTCTCCAAAAATTGCTGCTGTACCTGTCTATCTTTGACCTGAAGATACAAGTTATTTTGAAAAGAATATCAGCATAAAGCTGGTGAGTTCATAAGAGTTTTAGTGTGAGTACTTGTATAAAAAGCATTAGAGTCATTATTGTGAAAACTGAAGTTTGAAATCATAAATAGTGGTGAAACCTAGAAAATCCCATATTTTCCAGAACATTAAGTAATGTAATATAGTGAGTTATTCTTAGAGTATGTAATAGTGGTGCAGCATCCTTTAGTATTAGATACTTATTTACTTCGGGATATTACTTCATCTTTCTTTTAGTATTTTAGTGCGGTTATAGTGTCTTTCTAGTATATTCCCAATAGTGTGAGTAATAGCGAACCCCATGACCTTCCCAGTCATGCATAGTGTAGTAGAGTAAAAGCATCCCTGGGCCTGAGCGGCTCGGACTGAAGTTATCAGTCGGGATGTAATAGCGTCTGCCCCGTATAGATCTATACATATAGTGTCGTCTTCCTGTCGGAAAACTTCGGGCATAGTGAATAGCGTATAGAGTATCCCGTAGTGGATTAGTGAGTTATCTCATGATTAGTGCATTCTCTTGTATTATAGTGTAGTAATCTTTCGTATAACTTGTATTGTATTCTCTTATTAGTGTATTGCTTCATAATATAGAGAATTATAGTAGTGTAGAGTAATAGTGGAAACTAGGGATAGAGTCCTTAACTATACCCATTATAGTTAATTTAGTGTATGTGGTTCTAGTCAAGTAGTGATTCAGGTAATTAATGAATTAAGAAGTACTCATAATCTGTACTAATATATGAGATATATAATTAAGAAATCAATGACAGTCGGATGGATAACTACTACCCTAAGTCCACAATCAAACAAGAAACAGGAAATAAGGCGAGCTATCGGTCCTAAGTCTTTCAAGTCTTACTTATATAAATATATTAGTATGATTACATTCTCATAAAGAGTTTTATTTAACAAAAGTATTGTACGAAAGGAACATTTAAAACTTGTTTGTTAATCCAAATAGTTTTGAAAACAATTGACTTATTTATAAAGCATAGTGATAAATCACATGTGATTTGAACTACAGATTGGGAATCACATGTGATTAACTCTGAATCTGAAAAATAGTTTTGTATAACTTTTCATAAACATGTATATTCAACTTGTATCTCCCCCCTAAAACATATAAAACATTTGAAAGGTTCATTAAGGGGTATGAACTCACCTGAAATCGCGGAAATCGGGTGAATCGGGTAAATCGGGTAAAAGTGTCGATTGAGCGTTTGGTACCCAATAACCTCTTGAGCACCTCCTAGGACCCTAATGTCCTATGAAATATGTATTTTACAAGAAGTTAATCATCTTATGCTTTCATTATAGTATTTGGACATTCTAGCATCGTTTTCGGGGTTTTAAGGCCTAGAAGGGGTTCCCGGGAGTGGTACAAAGTCATGAATGATTTACGGGAGGGTCCACGAGCTCACTCCCTTGGAGTTTATGGCCCAAAAGCCATCCTTTGGGAGTTTACGGCCGTAAACCCCTAGGTTTGGCCGTAAACTCTTGTGGCACTCCAAAGTGTATGCTTAAGGTCTTATTTCACTTCCTTGATTTAGTGGTGTGTGTCTTGGACCATTTTAAGGGATTAAACATCATAATTTGTGACATTTTTGGGGAGTTTACGGCCAAGACTTGTTCTTGGGCCGTAAACTCTTGTAAACCCTTCAAGATGTATGTTTTATTGGTACAACAAAGTCTCATACACCTTAGATAAATCCTAGAAGGCCATATAGTGAGTTTGGGACAATTTGGCATATATTTTTGGGGAGTTTACGGCCCAAGAACATCCTTGGCCGTAAACTCTTCATTTTGTGTCCAAATGTGAAGTTTAATGGTACAACACACTTCCAAAGGCCTTAGCTAAAATCCTTACATGCATTTGAGGGGTTTTGGGACTTGTTTGACACAAAAATAGGGTGTTTACGGCCCAAGCTTAGCCTTGGCCGTAAACTCCTCTTTTTGCCATCAAATGATGTTGTTTGATGCATTTAAGCCTTCCTTGTTGTCAAGTCTAAATTGCCAAACACCCTAGATGAGTTTTTGGGGCTTTAAACAAGTGTTTTTGGGGTGTTTGAGGTGTTTACGGCCTAAGCACATGCTTGGGCCGTAAACTCCTTTTTACATGTCAAATCCTTGTGTTTTAGTGTCCAAAGTCCCCTAGGTTTATGCCTTAACTAGTCTATAAGCTTAAAAGAAGGAAAAACAAGGCTTTTGGTATGAGTTTGGGGGTTTGCGGCCTAAGGAGCTTCTTAGGCCGTAAACTCCTTTATGGTCCTTGATTCTCATGATTTTGGACTCTAAAAGCAGTAAAGTATGATTAGATTAAGTTAGGGGATGAATCCTTACGTTTGGAAGTCGGAAATTCGCGGATTTGGAGTCGATTTCGGGTCTAGAGAGAGAAAGTAGTGAGAGAGAGGTGTAGTAGTGGTAAAAGAGTCCAAATTGAAGTGTTCAAGTGTTTTTATATGTCTCGGGTATTGTACCCGATACACGGCTACCCGATGCTAACGGGGTTAAAACTTTTTACCCGGGTGAAGTGGTTGAAAAGTAGTTATAACTTTATTTAGTTAAACGGGGTTAACATCCGCAAGTTATAATTACTCATGATAATACCGAAACATATAATTAACTAAATATTTATTTATTGACGACCCGAACAATACCGAGAAATAACATATAATGACGCATTCCGTTAGTGAAAATAGGGTTTGTAACGGGAATAGATTTGGGGTTGTTACAATATATATATATATATATATATATATATATATATATATATATATATATATATATTATATATATATATATATATATATATATAAAAATTTAGTTTTAAGTTTAAAACATAAACGGGTCACGTGTCAACCAGATACTTTTTTTTTGCAAATCCGAACACGGCCCATTCAATAAACAGGTTGCATATTGACGGGTTGAAAAACTCAATTTAAACATATTTATCTTCGTGTCGGTCTCGTATCGTATCGCGGACCAAGAATTGCTGCTAGCTAGGCTTTCTTACGGCCTTGAAAATTGATCACCTATTTTATCTTTCATCTGAATTATTTCGTAGTTTCATCTGTATCATTTCATACTTTTGATTATTTGAAAGAGAGCAAGATACATTTTTCCCCCAAAAAACAATTATAAGAACAAATCTTCGGACCCACAAAATTAAAGTAAATTAAAGTTCTAAAGCGTGTTATGAATCACCATGTGTTCTGTTGGTGACGTGTGGAATATAGCGTTTCTAGAAATTAATTAATTACTTTTTAGTTATATTTTAATCACCCCATTACTTAATAAGAATCATTAAATTTAATATAATTAGATCGATACTGATCACCCGAGATTTATCGACTTAAGCAGTAAGCAACAAAACACATGTCTAAACCTCATTAGCCTCTATTAATATATAACTATTTTGGCCCTTTTAACTTGCTACTTTTGTCTCTTTTTCGTAATATTAAATTACATCTACATTAATTGAACATGTAAACAATTTTCATTTCCTACAATACCCTCATTTGCATTCCTCTGTAGAGAGACTCACAAATCGCATCCAAGAAGGTAAATATTTCCAACGTTTTTTGCTGTACCCTTTATGATTTGCTGGCCAAATTATATTTTGTAACGGATATATCATATGGAAAAATTGTATTTAGTTAACAAATTATATGCTATATATGGCCTTTAAATAGTAACTGTTTATAGAAAATTAAATAAGACGGGGTGTAACTTAGTCGAAGGATATTTTAGTAAATGTGGACTTATCAGGTGGGGTTACTTTAGTAAGGTGATGCATATTAAGTGAATATGGAAGAAGGGATGGTTTTGACAGAGACCCTTATGAGTTTGCATGATGATGGTTTTACAAGGGTTTTATATTGGTATAAATATGTGCATTATGTAAGATATTTACATCACAAAAGTAATAACACTAAATGCATTAGGAAACATAAATATGGAAGAGCATTTAGTGTCTTGGAGAAAAGGTCCATGGACTGCTGAAGAAGATCAGTTGCTTATTAAACATGTCAAACTGCATGGCGAAGGAAGATGGAACTCTGTGGCCAAACTTACAGGTATGTTCTATCTTTCTCTTTCTGATCATATATAAACTTTTCTTGCATGGAAAACCACACGTTAATTTGCATGAGTATGTATGGATGGAGTATGTTGTAATTTTCATGGATCTTATGTGTTCACAGGGCTAAAAAGGAACGCAAAAAGCTGTAGATTAAGGTGGGTGAACTATCTTAGGCCAGACCTAAAGAGAGGCAGAATTACTCCTCATGAGGAAAGAATTATTCTTGAACTACATGCTCGATGGGGAAATAGGTGAGTGACTCCTTCGGGTATTTTTCTTCAAGACTTATCTATGTCGACAATTGACAATTTGACACATATGTCTTATGAAACATATGGTATTTGTTTGTAGGTGGTCAACAATTGCACGGAGTTTACCTGGAAGAACAGATAACGAGATCAAGAATTACTGGAGAACTCATTTCAAAAAGAAGGGGGGAATAATGAGTTCAGAGGAGTCAGCAAAGCTAAAAACGCGCTTATTAAAAAGACAAAAATTTCAACAAGAACAACAAAAACAGCTTTTTCTACAAAAAAACGAAGACATGAAAAGGGTGCTTTTGTTGCTCGAGGAAAGTGATAACAAAGTAACTTGGAGTCACCAAGATATGGTTAATAATGAAATACCAAGTGTCTTTTATCCTTTGGTGTTTAACAATTCTCAACATGTGGTGGAAACCACCATGAATGAGGATTTTACTTTGTGGGATGGCTTGTGGAACTTGGAGGATCTTTATCCAGCCACAACCAAAGGTTGTGTGCAGAATCTAACGATGCCCACTCCTATATTTTGATCATCAATAGTGGCCAAATTAGCCACATAACTCGTACCAGTATTGTTTTCTTGATGTAAGTTATCTTAATGAAATAAAGTTTACCTTTTTAGTAACTTTAATTTATCTTTGTCTAGAGAAAATTATCTAATGCTCCCAAGTCGACTCGTTGCTGCAAACTAATTATTACAGATAAATACATATATTTTCCACCATAGATACGAAATCTTCTTTTAAAGTGACCCCCATCACCCTATGCATATCTTAAAGAATTACTTAGGTGCCAAATTAGACTCCGCTGACAGTGTGGCTGTGCTTTAATTAATGAGACAAGAAGTATATATTGAGTTATTAATATTTTGGTTCCAATTGTGCTTCATTATCAAGGGTATATCATATCGTCTCCTGTAGTTGTTAGACGTCTCCAAAGATGACTTAATTAATATTTATTTTTTTAGACTAAATTACTTAAATGGTGTAACGATCCAAATTTTCAAATAAAATTTTTATTTTTAATTAAAAAAAACATTCTCATAAAATATGAAGTAACAATGACAATTAATTGTTTTCAATATCAATAACATCAACATTTTATTTCAAATATCAGAGTGTCCCATCAAATCAAATGTCGAATAGTGCATGCCGCGTCATTAAAAGCTTTGTCATTGTCATTATGTTTAGATGTATCTGAAACAAATCAACAAACTGTAAGCTAATGCTTAATGAGTTTCCCATACCATACCCCACACAATCCACATAATCACATAATCCATATTAGCATGGGAACCCCGACATGGTCTTATCCCCTTGCCTCGGGAACCCCCCCCCCCCCCCCCCGAGGTCTTGACTAGAGATGCCAAGGAAACCCTCCAAGGTCGTATACCCTAGTGCCTCGGGAACCCTCCGAGGTCTTTACTCAAGGAAACCCTCCAAGGTCGTATACCCTAGTGCCTCGGGAACCCTCCGAGGTCTTTGCTCAGGATGCCTTGGAAAGCCTCCAAGGTCTTACACCCAAGCGCCTCGGGAACCCCCCGAGGTCTTTTATGCAAGTACCTCAAAACAACTAGTATACCATATAACATGTAACCGGATAATATAACACACAACACTACATAACTAGTGTACCACATAACGTATAATGGGCCGGCCTTGGTGCCTTCGACCCATTGGTATGGTGAGGAGACTCACCTATCAAGAATGTTGAACTGATAAGATAAGATCAGATAAGTCCCAACGCAAAGCTCCAACTCAACTGCCTACAATTATCATGTGACTAGTTTTGTTAAAATTCCAAAATACCAAAAATACCCTCAAAGTCAAACTTGGTGTAACACCTCGACTCTCAGGTATAAACTTTATAGTCTTATATTCATTTTAAAAGGTCTACTCGATGAGTCCGATGCCTTGACTCGGCGAGTAGGAATGAATTTGGCCATGTGTCTTAAGTGACCAACTCGACGAGTTAGAGGACACAACTCGATGAGTTTGTGCTGGACAATGAAATCCTAATTTCTGGGGTTTTACACCCTATTTAAAGGGTCATTAGCCTCCCTTACATCCCCCCTTGAGCTCAGAAACCCTAAATCGTATTTACTCTCCATATTTGTGTGTTATTAAGCTTGGAAGGTGGATCTTGGTGAGAAGAGCTTGAAGACCAAGGAGCTTGGAGCAAGGAAAAGTTGTGGATCTGAATTCTACTCCCTCTTAGCATCACTTGAAGGTAACACGTCGTTAATTTGACTTCCTTCTAGCTAGATCTCTCCTTGATTGAGATTATGGCCATTTTAGCATGTTGGTGATTCATTTCGGGTATTGGGCATGATCTAAAGTTGCAACTTCAGATCTAGGCGCATCTTGGTTCTTATAGTCATAAAGCTTCATGCTTTAGCAAGATAATGCATTTTCCTCACTAAGAACCCCTTCTTTAGCTTGATTTTGGCCTTTAGCAACTTACATGTACGTAAAGTTTGCAAGTTTGCATAGGAAGTATGCCCTAGGAACTTAGATCTGTAATATGGAGCTTTGGGATGACTTATAAGCATTTGAATGGAGAAAGGACTGAAGGGACTCGACGAGTTGCATGGCCAACTCAGCGAGTCCGGTGAAGATTATCCTTTAAGGGTTTCTACATGAACTTGGTGAGTCAGCAAGAGAACTTGACGAGTCGGTTAAGGTTTTCCCGACAATTAGACATGCATGAACTCAACGAGTTGCCTAGGAACTTGGCAAGTCAACTAGGATCTTCACGATTCTTCGAGTTCTGGAAGGACTAGACGAGTCATTGAGTTGCACTCAACGAGTTGGGTCAACTTGGACTGTTGACCTTGACTGTTGACTTTGCCTTTGACCAAGGGTTGACTAGTTTGACTTTTGGGGTTATTTTGGTAATTTAGGAATTTATGGAATTGGATCATTGATGGGTATAGATGCTGGTGTTGGAGCTGTATTTGGAGGAGGTTAATATTATCATTCCGAGCTACTTGAGAGGTGAGTTGTCCTCACTATACTAACTGGGTCGAAGGCACCAATGCCAACGCTTTTCGGATTTTTATCCGGGTTTATTGCATGTTATGCTTTATGATATGTATCCTGGTTATAGGGTGGTTGACATGTTAGAGATCGGTTAGATCTGTATCCTGGTTATAGGATGGTTTCTATGTTAGTGATCGGTTAGATCGGTATCCTAGTTATAGGATGGTTGCCATGATTATGGATCTGTTAGATCTGCATGACTATTTGTTTATATGTATGTGCACATGTTTGTTGGCTTGGGGGATTGGGTTGAGGCAGGTCCTACTTTATGCTGTAGGCCAAGATACCCAGGGTGGACTAGATACACTGTAGACCCGGGAGGGCATATAGTCAGGCCGAAGGACCGACGAGCGGTCCGGATAGGCTGAGGCTTTGAGAGGTGGTCCAGACGTGCTGAAGGATCAGAGAGTGGTCCAGATAGACTGATGGCCTGTGAGCCAGTCCAATCAGAATGATGGCTCATTATGCATGTTGTTTGCTTATATGTTTATATGACATGGTTATATATGTATGGCTTTGGTATTTTGGAGGTAGCTCACTAAGCCCTCGAGCTTACATTTATCGATTATTGTTTCAGGTACTTCTGATGATTGTAGGAAGGCGAAGGCGTGATCGTACTGCTCCTCATATTTCATAATTTTTATGATTGATTTTGGGATACTCTGACGTTATACTATTTTGGAAACAAGTTTTGTAATAATCCTTGGTGTGAAAATGTTTTAAAAAGTTTAAATTTGGTATGATTTTTATGGATGTTACACTTGGTCGACCATGTTAAAAGTCAAAGTCAACAGTCCATGTTGACCCAACTCGTCGAGTGCATCTATCAACTCGTCGAGTCCCTTCAGTGTTCAGAAAACCAGGGAAACCCTAACCAACTCGCCAAGTTACTCATCAGAACGAAAACGGGAAAACCCCAATCAACTCGTCGAGTTTACTCTTCAGACTGAAAACGGGAAAAATGATCCAACTCACCGAGTTGCCAGGGCAACTTGTTGAGTTTTCCCATGTCTTAACATAATCGGTCCTTTCAATCGAATCTAAAGCTCCGTACAACAAATCCTTAACCATAAAGATATCTAGAGGGGTAAAGTTTCCAACTTTACCCCCCCCCCCCAAAGACCATCTAATATGCGTTAGACTCAAACCCTAACTCCATTGAGGAAGGTCTTGACTCATTAAGCCTTTAAACTCTCATCTCATCGACCCAAAACACAAATCTGATGTCCAAGGGTGGACAAATCACGTAAAGTTTCTAACTTTACGTCCATGCATGCGCAAAATACTCTCTATGATCCATTTTAGACTTTATTGTGGACATCATGCATGAATGGAAAATGGAGGCTATTAAAGTTTGCAACATTAATCCTCTAGAGGTCTTATAGAGGCTATATCTACACTCCTAATCTTTGGAAACCTATTATCTTGGGACATCCAACAAAAAGTTCCAAAACAAGCACTAAAATACAAAAAGATGAAATCTAAAAAACTACATGTAAAGGTTATGGCTTTATACCTTCAAAATGAAGCCCTTGATGTAGAGTTTTTGGATCCAAGATCACTCCTCCAAGATTGCTACTTCTCTCTTCAAGACTTCCTTAAAAAATCACACCACAACACCTAAAACTTCAATGAACAAGAGGGGTAGGTAGTTCAAGGGTTTCTCTGAGTAAGGAGGCTAGCCCTAATGGTTAAGTTCTTTAAATAGGGTACTAAACCCGAAAAATTAGGGTTTTCTTACAGTGTCTACTCATCGAGTTGGGGCCTTCCAAATCTTCGAGTAGACCCTAAGTCCTGCGTCCAATATCGATATCTACATGTCGAGTTGGGCTCCCCAACTTGTCGAGTCCCAGTGCAAAACCCTAGAAACTTAAAAAAATAAATGATACATGGAACAAGCGTTACAAATCTCCCCCGCTTGAACTAGAATTTGTCCTTGAAGTCCGCTGACGCAAAAAAATTTGGTTAGTGATCTCGCATCTCCTCTTCTGGCTCCTATGTCCATTCGGAGCCTCTTCGGTGCTTCCATTGCACCTTCACTAACTTCACCTCCTTATTCCAAAGAACCTTAGTCTTCTTATATAGAATCACAATGGACCTCTCAATGTAGTTCAGGTTCTCATCCACCTGAATGTCATCCAAGGAAATAACTGCGTCCTCGTCTGTGACACACTTCCAAAGCTGAGACACATGGAAGGTGTTGTGTATCTGGATGAGCTCGTCCAGTAGATCAAAACGGTAAGCCACCTTTCCCACCCAGGCCGAAATCCTGAACGGGCCAATATATCGGGGCCCTAACTTATTCCTCTTCTGGAATCGGATGACTCCTTTACATGGCGACACTTTCGGTAAAACAAAGTCCCCCACCTGGATCTCAAGATCTGATCGATGCTGGTCAACATAGCTTTTCTGACAGCTCTGTGTGACTCGTAGTTGGTAGTACACCTGTTAAATCAACTCGGTAGTCTTGAGCACAACCTCAGTTGTAACATCCTGTTTCAGATTGTCCCTGTTTAGGGTACGTGGGCCGCAGATCGGGCATGAAGAGG